AATTAAATTTTTTTCTTATCTTTGAAATCTGGGATCCCCTCTTCTTGTTTTCTTTGATAGTTTTTGGAAACAAATTAGATACAAAAGAAAATTCCTGGAGAGCAAGCAATTTTTTTTAAAATTGATTTTCGTTTTTTTTTTGTTTTTCTTTTTAACTTGTTTTTTTTGCTCTTAGTATACAAGAAATCCCCAGAATTATCAAGAACGAAACCTTGATAGAACCGCTCTAATACCACTTGATAACGACAAGGTCGGGAATCCAAACTAGAGTAAGAATTTAAAAAGTAAATGCGGAAGCAATAACAATAAGTAATTGAACAACTAGAACTAAAGGGTAAAAAATAAAGGATATGGGAAAATTCAAGGAAAGAATTTCAAGAACTTCCAAGAACGCAAGTTCTATAGCCTTGACAAGATCAAAGCAACAACGTCTTGATTTATTGAAGAAATCAAATGCCTTTACTTAAAAGTAAATCAAAATAATAGATTCGGATCTTGACCGCTTTACGAGTAACTTGAGACAATAATTAATAACTAGTATTAATCGCCTTCTAAGAATACCACAAAGGAATCAAAGATATCACAATAGAGAAGTAATCTTACTACCTTGAACTATGAACTAGTAAAGGTTGAAAGATAAATCTCAAAGCACAAGTAACAAAGGTTCAAAAGAACTCTCAAAGTATGATATACTTAATCAATAATGAAGTGTCTCAATGAATGAGAAGAACTCCTTATTTATAGGAGTACTAAGGCACAAAAAGTCCTTAAAATTAGGTAGGGTGGTTGCTAAGGCATAAAAAGTCATTACAATTAGGTAGGGTGATTGCTAAGGAGTAAGAAAAGTCATTACAATTAGGTGGGGGGCGGCCAAATCCCTTTGGGGCAGATTTGGACCTTAAAACTACTAGTTTGGGCCATTGATTTGGACTCCAATTGGGCTCCCTTTGAAACACCCCCTTTGTGACCTGTTTTTAAGCTCATTTTGAGCCCCTTTAGTGGACTTCAAGGGCTGATTTGGTGGCCCAATCTTCCTCCTCTTGGACTTCAATTTGGATTACCAAATAATTGTAAAACTTGGATAATTCATCTACTTTGGGTTTGAGCTCTTCCTCTACAATTAAAAGCTTCTTTATTTGCCATTGAAGTCCAGCAACCTTAGAGTACAACTCTTTAGCTTGAGATCTTGTAAATGGCCTTGGAGTTTCCAAAACTCTATCCTTGTCCTTGATGCTATCAACCCCGACCTCTTGCGGCTCTAGCAGGGGGTGTGGGTGTCTGATAATCTAATCCAGCAGTGCGTGTACTCACCATCTGTGAGAGAATAGAAAGATAGACTTAGATTTCAAAATCAACAAGTTCACACGATAAGGAATCAAAGAAGTGGAATTTCCTAATGGTTCTGTAGCCCCTCAAAGATAAGTACGGACGTCTCTGTATCGATCCACAAGACTCTGCTAAACTTGCTTATGATTCGTAACACCTATGAATCTAGAGCTCTGAGACCTACTTGTCACGACTCCAAAATCCTACCCAAGGAGGTCGTGATGACACCTAGTCTCTAAGACTAGGTAAGCCTAACATTCATTGATAGCTTAACAGAAATAACAAATTAAGATAATAAAATAAACCAATAAGGCTCATAATAACTCCAAAGCTCAACATCAGTAACAAACTCCCACAGAACAGGTGAAACTGAGTAATAAGCTCTACAAAAATATACAAAAATCTCTAATACAACACTGTCTGAAAATAGGAATAACAACAGTAAAGGGAATAACAGAAGGTGACTTCGAGGCGTGCGAGCATCAGGCAGGTATACCTTGAAGTCTCCGGAAAACAACTTTAAGATCACTGGTGTTCAGCACGAACTGATGTACCTGGATCTGTACAAAAATGTGTAGAAGCATAGCATGAGTACACCATAATGGTACCCAGTAAGTATCAAGCCTACCTCGGTAGAGTAGTAACTAGGCCAGGTCAAGACACCTACTAGGATAAGAAAACTGAATAGAATATAGTATAGTCTAATAATGGAAAGCGGGGAAATAAATGACAATAAAGCAGTACAATAATGTAAGCTAACAACAAAATCTAAGGTGGTAAAGACAACAAGAAGTGAACACATAATGAGAGCAACGAAAAATCAAATATGAAGAAGAACTATTCAACCAATAAGCCTTTTTAACATATAATGTACAACAAGAATCACAACTGAGGTACCACACCTCACAAATCTCATTTCACAAGTCACAATCAAAATTCTCATTATATCACCGCGTGAGCCTTGTATTTATTTTGAAAACGTTTCTCCCGAAATAGCTACACGCGTTTTAGCCCCTTATCTCACCGCGTGGCTTCAAGTAATTTCCTTACTAGCAACGCACATATTAATCCCACCTTATATCACTGCATGCGTATCAACCCCTATCCTTATACCACCGCATGCGTATTAATATCACAACACAATAATAAACTCGTACCACATGTACCCATATGCCACAACACTTGCCAAAACTCAATAATACCAAATATTACCACAACATATAGCCCACGGGCCAACCAACAATGTGAACAAGAATCTAAATAAAACAAAATAAAAGAGGAATACCCAATAAGGAAGGATATTATAACAATCAACAACTCGAAATAAGAATAATTTAACAATAAAAGAGGTAACAAGACAATAAGAGAGATAACAACTTCAACTAAAGCGTACAAGAACAAACTTGACAATAAAGGATAGGACATATGCTAACAATATCAAATAGAGCATGTGAGAGAAAATTGAACAATGGAAGATATAACATGTTAAGACAAATTTCAATTAAATGCATGGAATAAGTCTAAAAGTTTAAACCTCTCAAAATACGACATATAAATCCGTGTACACATTCGTTACCTCGCGTACACACTCGTTACCTCGTGTACACGTCTTTCACATTATACAAATAACACAATCAACCCAAATCCTAAGGGGTAGTTTCCCCCACACAAAGTTAGGTAAGATACTTACCTCCAATAAGCTAAATCAATCCACTAATAAGCCCTTTCCGCGCAAATCCAACTCCAGACAGCTCGAATCTAGCCAAAATAATATAATACCATAAATACAAGCTATAGCAAGCAATTTCAAGTAATAAGGTTTCAATCTTTAATGGAAATCAAAACGTCAATTCAAAAAGTCAATCCCGAGCCCGCACCTCGGAATCCGGCCAAACTTACAAATCCCAAACACCATTCCGATACGTGTCCATCCACACCAAAATTATCCAATTTTGACCTCAAATCAACCTTCAAATCTTCAATTTATGGTTTAGGAAATGTTTTACAAAAATCCTCAATTTCTCCAATTTAATTCACTGATTAAATAATAAAAACGATGATGGATTCACGAATAATGAACAAATCCGAGTAAAAAATACTTACCCCGATCCAATCCTTGAAAATCCCTTCTAAAATCTCTCAAAATCGAGCTCTCTAACTCAAAAAGTGAGAAATAAAATAAAACCCTTGATCTAACCTATTCCTGCCCAGCGATTTCCGCATCTGTGGTCCATTAGTTACTTCTGCGGCTCCGCATCTACAGAAAAACATTGCAATGCGGTATCTCATTAAGCCCAGGAATTCTGCTTCTGCGAACCCGTATGCGCATCTGCGCGTCCGCTTTTGCGGAACATGACCGCACCTGCGGTCCCTTGCCAACAGTCCAATACTCGCTTCTGCGAAGAAATCCGCTTCTACGGTTGCATACCTACGCGCACATCTCCCCACCTGCGGACCCAACCCCCAGGCCCTAACATATATCTGCGGCCCAACTATCGCAGGTGCGATTGCACTAGCACTCAACAGGCTTCAGCAATGTCCTAAGCCTCCAATTTGGTCCGAACTCAATCCGAAACATACCCGAGTTCCCCGAGACCCCTTTCGAACATACCATCAAGTCCAAAAATATAACACGAACCTACTCGAGACCCTAAATCACACCAAACAACATCAAATCTACGAATCATACCTTAATTCAAGCCTAATAAACTAATGATCATTTAACTTCTAAAACTAACGCCGAATCACATCAAATTAACTCCGACTGAGCTCAAATTTTGCATGCAAGTCCTAAATGACACAACAGACCTATGCCAACTCTCGAAACCACAATCTGAACCCGATATCAATAAAGTCAACCCTAGATCAAACCTATTAACTTTCCAACTTTCACCAAAAAGTACAAAATCAACCCACAGACCTCCAAATCAACATCCGAACATATGCCTAAGTCCATAATCACCATACGAAGCTATCGAAATCATCAAAACTCCATTTTGGAGTCGTCTACACAAAAGTCAAACTCCGGTCAACTCTTCTAACTTAAGTTATCAACTTTGGGACTAAGTGTCCCAATTCACGCCGAAACTCACCCGAAAACCAGACCAACTATCTCGACAAGTCACATAACCACAAATGAACAAAAAAGAGGCAATAAATTGAGGAATGGGGGCTACAATACTCAAAACGACCGGCTGGGTCATCGTAGAAGTGGTCGAAAAACAGATGGTTGTAAAATATTTTCGATCGAAATGGTCGGAAATTTTCGACCGTTTTGGTCGCAAAGAGGAAAAATCAGGGTGACTAGATAAATTCAAAACATGCGATCAATTTGGTCGGTAAATTTGCGACCGATTTGGTTGGTAAATTTGCGACCTAGTCGTTCGCTTATTTAAAAATAAATATTAATAACACGTAACGAGTTCCAACCGATTTGGTCGGTATATTTAGTATTAATTAAAATTATATTCGTCATTTCCGACCAAATCAGCCGAAAATATTAAAATTAATTTAATAAATAATTAATATTTCCAATCACCTCAGTAGAAAATCTAGGAATTGTCAGTTATAAATTTCGACTACAGTGGTCGAAAATCGGAAGCAAATTTCTGATAAATTTCACTAGAATTCTGCTGTATTTTAAGCTACACCACCTGCCAATTCAAAATCAATCATTCAACCTAATATATATCAAAATTGCTCAATCAATTGAACCTAAAATATCAAATATTAAACTAGTAAATATTACAACACCTTCAAACAAGTGTAAAACGCATTTATTAAGACATATTAAAGTCTAAAAGTTTCAACCAAATGATATTCAAGTCTAAAACACATAATCCAAGTCTAAAACCAACCAAGTCAAAAGTAGTCATGTCTAAATATCATGATCATTCCAAATTACTACTCCTCGTCGATTTCAATCTCCCCATTGTTAGATTCCTCCATTGTACGTTGGTTGCCATGCTTTTCCATGAATATACGCATCATACTTATTATTTCTTGAGTAATGTTTCATTGTTGTGTTAATTCATTGATTTATGTCTGCATAGTCTCAATTTCTTCAGGTGAAGCAGAAGCACCACTGAGTAATGCAGTTGGACAACTGGACAATGGTTGTACTTCAAGTTTGACTCTATCTTTATTTATTTTCATGAGAATCAAAAAAAAGTAAAATGAGCAAGAGAAGAAACATACAACTTGTGCAAAATAATATTACTAAAAAAGATATACCTTTATTTACTCCACCGGCTGCCTGTCTCCATATTAAAGTCATATCTTCGGACGATAGTTGCAAAATATAAACTATAGTTATACTTTTTTTGATTAAAAGTTAAGTATTTAAGCTTGCACACAAATCTTTCCTTTGTTTCCTATCCCAACTTAAATAGAAAATCAAAGCACAAGACACAAAATTCAAACAACATTTATTCCTAATTTAATAACATATGTAAATTACAATGTGAAAATAAAGTCAAGATTGAATAGTTTTATTTCTAATTCCAGAATATATATAAATTACAATACAAATTGAAGATTTCTCCTATTGAAAAAAAATCTATCTCAAATTTCATTCACTTCTAATTTTTTTATCCAAAGGAAGCTTAATTTTCATGTTACTCAAGGCTCTGAACCATAGTTATTCAAGGTTAAAGAATAACTTATTCTTTCATTTCAACCCTAATTTCAATTCTAATCTTATCAATATTCAAACTAAAAAAAAAATACTAATTTTAATTACAATACAAACAAAAAGAAAAAATATAGTAACATTCAAGGCTGGAGAAGGAATGAAGGAAGAACTTACCTCGCCGGAGAAGATGCACACCGCCGAATTACTCCACTGCCTGAAAAAGAAAAAAATTAATTGAAAAAGGGTTAAAGAATCTGGCCGCGAAAGGGATGAGTGAGAGAGGGAGGGAGGGAGAAAGTGAGATAGAGAGTGGTATACCGTCAGAAATTTGAGTAAAGGTGGGCGACGACGATTGGCGAGGTGACCAAATAGTGTAATAGAAGAGAAAGAAAAAAGAATATAGGGGTCAGGGCAGGGTTATAAATAGCATTTCCGACGGATCGGTCGGTAAAAAAATTAAAATTCAAAATTTCGCTATTTTTCCGATCGATTTGGTCGGTTATATACTGACAGGATATTTTAAAATGGTTTCCGACCAAATCGTTTGGAAAAACTAAAAAAATAAATATATATATTTTATTAATTTCCTATCGTTTCAGTCGAAAAGTTAAAACTGGTTTGACTTTCAAGCACCGACTCAATCGGTCGCAAACAACTTTTCCGATTTTTTGCGCCAAAACTTTGTGACTAACATTGTCGGAATATGGTCGAAATATTATAATAAAAAAATTGAACAATATTTTTTTTTTGCTTTTCCGACCGAAACCGTTGGAAATTTCCGACTATAATTTTCGGTCGGAAAGTTTCGCTCGGAATTCTCTATTTTTTAGTACTGTCAACCCTTTTACTGCTTTACAAGTTGCTAGTCTTTGCGGAAAATATATATATATATATATATATTACATGGGTTGCCTACTAGCATTGTCATTGATAAGGATAAAGTGTTCTTGAGTTTGTTTTGGGGTAAAACATTTACCCGTTTATACCAAATCAATAACTAAATGACACTTAATCTAACTACAACTATTAGTGGTTAATCATAGTTAACTTTTATTTGTTTTGCACATAATCTAAAATAATAATTAACTATACTTAATAATCTAGCTAGATATTCTATTAGTTTTTCTTTATTCTTTAACTGGACAAAGATTCTATGCTTTTGATATTCTAATACTAGTAAAACAATAAAATTATTTGCATAAACACTTAAATTAATCATCTTTTTTCAATTTCTTCTTCCCACAGAACTTAAACAATTAGCTAAAGTAAATCAAGATAAACAAATTTACTCCTGGCGACCTTACATTGACCAGTTAGTCATTACTGGTAAGAAAGCTATTTCCAAGGATTAAAATATTTTTAAGTTATGGTTTTTGCAGTCTTTCGTTCATTCGTAGAACTATTGTAGAAAAAGACAAGATTTTGCGTAAGTATTTGACAAAGAAATAGGATTAGAACTTAGAAAAAGTTAGGGAGAAAGAGGATAAGGACTATGAATCTCTATACAGTTACTTCAGTACATAATAATCAAGCCAGAAGATGTAGCATGAATGCTAAGAGGATGATTACGGTGAAATAAAACAAAGATGATGAGCGAAACCAAAAAAATTGAAACGTTAGTTATTATGATTTTACTAATATTTTTTTAAATTTTTTATTCATTAAAAATAAAACTCCTAAAAGACCTCATTTTCTCTCCTAAAATTAATTTAACTGCACTTAATGTAAACACTTAGTAAATATTTACCTCTTTTTAGAAGGAATTGTTTAAAGGACCGAAAACTGAGTTGGCGTTTAGCCCACGCTATCACCCTCAAATTGATGGGCAAACTAAAAGGGTAAACAAGTGTGTGGAAAACTATTTGAGATGCATGAGTGGGCACAACCCAAGGAATAGCGTAAGTGGCTGCTTAGGCTGAATTCTGGTATAATTCCAATTACCCAACTTCTAACAAAATGGCTCCATTTAAGATTTTGTATTGATATGATACACCAGAAATATCTTTTGAGCTGGTGGCTCAGTCCATAGTGGCAGTAGTGGATCAGTGGCAACAAGAAAGGCAAGTGATGGGCTCAACGGAGGATGAAGTTCTGCAAATAAAAACGGAAAAATGACACTGTATAGCTGCTGTAAAAATAATAGCCGAAAAATATATAAAATTTATATATTTTATATAGATATATATATATATACATTTTGTATGTTATATACAACAATTATATAAATTTTATATATTTTTTGGACAACAAATATAAATAGTTTCCGGCGCGGGCTAAAAGTAATAATAGCCCAATAAAAACAGAAATAAAAGGAAGTATGAAGTTGGGGATTGGGGATTGGGTTTACATTAAATAATAGGCCCAGTTGTTTAATTTTTGCCTTGTATATTTTTTTGGTTATTATGTTCGACCCATTTGTTTTGGCCCATATATTTTCCTTCTTTATTTTGCTAATGTAACCAAAATTGGAAAGATCATGAAATATAGAAAACCTAACTTCTACCCCAATTTTCTCCTCTTCTCTCTCTCTCTTTCTCTTCTGTGCAGCTATTTCACAATTTGAGCTCACTCACACCTCAAAGTTGTGATAGATTCAAGTGTAATGTTTTTTTTCCTTTTCTCTGAGTTCTCTTGTTAGAATTTTTGGTTCCATCACTGCATATGGTTGTCACTTGTGGCCCTGTAGGGCTTGTAGCTAGCTTTCCGCAATAACGAAATAGTCTTCTTCAGTAATTTGTCTTTTTGTTTAGCCTCTTGGTTATTTAATACCAATATTTGGCTCTCAGGTGCGTCATGATTAAACACATGCTTTTATTGAGTTTAAATTAATAATTATTGGGAACGATAACTTGCATATTAGCAACCATTTTATACTTCACAAAATTTTCTTGTTGCATTTCTTTAATGATGTTTAGTAAAGTAGCACTGTCCATTGGTGTCTATGAGGGGGCAATTGCACTTAAATATAGGTTAACCATTATCATTGTAGGCTCAACATATATCAGTTTGGGAAGAATGGAGGAACAGAATTCGTGTTTGCTCTTTTTGTTCTAATTCCAGAAGGAGAAAAGCTAATTGCTTAATATGAGCACTTTTGTTCCTTTAATTATTGGTAAAATTTTGATTTTGGTCCTTGTGATACATAACTCATTACAGTTTACCTTCAATTAATTAAAATGTGTATTTTTGGTCCATTTATGTAAGAAATTTGTTGTACTTGAACAATTTTTAGAACTATCGCACCCTCAAATATGGAGTAATAATACAATCTTAATGTAATACAAGTATAATTAAATGGTGCAACGGTTAATAATTCTGTATATTTGTGAGTATTCATGATCAAAGGGATCAAAAATGCGCAAATCAATTAATTGAAGGTTAAATGTGCTTCATCGGATATTACAATGACTAAAATCAGAATTTACTTGTAACTGAGGACTAAAAGTGCTATTAAGCACTCAATACTCTTTAAGTCATTCGATCTATAAAGTTCAAGAAGAGAATTAAATGGAGAAGAAATCATCGGATTTGATATTAGTCTTTACTTTAGAAGTTTAAATGAAACAGAATTATTTAAGATATTCTCTCTGTTCTCAAATTTGATTTACTGCGGTACTCGTCTAATCTTCGTTTACACTTCGTGTTTTCCTGCAAATAAATTTCACTATTGAAAAACAAAAAGGTTAGGATAAGAGGCTGAATGAATAACTTAAATATCTAATCCTATTTTTACAATTTATAGCTACGCCAGAAAGCTCATCCTTTTCACCAAATTTTGTTCTAACTAATCTAGCGTGAAAGACCCTCTAATTTGACTTTCAGAGTTAAGAAGAAAAAAAATAATTAAGAAAAAACTTTTAAATCTGTTTTGTTTGGACTATAAAATTACTTATGATTATTTAATCAGACGACTATCAATGAATCGATTTTATGTAAGTCCTTGTCTTTTTTTCTTCTACTTACAATTCTCTTTTTTCCCCCTTTTTAATAATACGTGTGTCCAGGTCAGTACATACCTGAACACCTACACTACTTTATCCTGTATCAGTTGCCTTTCCTAGCATAATGATCGAACAACTTTGCCAACTAAACTTTAGACAAATGAGTAAAATCACCTAATGTTTCTTATTTTTATAGTAGTTTAGACTCTAAACTTTTTATAATTTTTATTAAATATATAGACTATTAAGCCATATTTTTTAATTTCATTGTGCAATTATCTCGAAAACTCAAAGTAGGGTTTCACTTTGATAACTACTCCATTATAGTGGCCTCTACAATGTCTTGTAGATCAAGGCAATTGATTGCACAAGCTCCATGAGGAAGGGGTATTTCCCAGACATTTTAAAATGGAAAGATTAAGATAAAGCTGAATTATCTTATCTGCAACAGTACTCTTGACCATTTTGTATAGTTTTTTGCCGTGCCATATAATTTAATTTGATGGACCCTCCTAGTCATAATCTCAAATAATACTAGTTATATTATATTCTGATCCAAAAGTAAATAGAGAAAAGAAATTTATATAGTGGATGGCGGCAGTTTTTTAAGTAGAAATTTGGGTGATAGCTTGCTTTCGGATCTTGTTTGGCCACCAACATTTGGACCCACAGAATCCTATTGTTCCTTCATATTAATATTTTGTTTGACTCTTTGTTTTTCATTTTCTTTAAGGAACTTTGGTATTCATTTTGCCGCGGGGAGTTTGTGGTTTTGTTCTTTGTTTAATACTCCCTCCGTTCAATTTATATTAACTAATTTTACTCGGCACGGAGTTTAGAAAAAAAAAGAGGAAGATTTTTGAAACTTGTGATCTTAAAAATTTAAGGGGTAAAATTTGTGTGGGGTTATGACATTTGTGTGATTATAAAAACTTTTCATTAATAATAAAATAAGTAAAATGAAGAGTTTAAAATTATATTTTTTCTAAATTTAGAGATGTGTCATTTATTTAGGAACAAATTAAAAAAAAAATACCTCCTCTAATTTAAAACAGAGCGAAGTTGGATTAATTTATTCGCCAAAATATTAAAGAGGGGAAGTGATAGGAAAAGGCATATAGTAAAAAGAGAAAGATCATTCATTATATGAAGGTCGGGGTCTTCCGTTGAACAAGTAGACCGCAACCTTTTCTTGCTTTTTACTTTTTTGGTTTTTTGGGGGCGCGGGGAAGGGTTCTTTGAATATTATATGAAGGAAGAAAGCAGATATCAAACGAGAAGATCAAGCAAATATGTTGTACTGAGTTATGGTTCGATTGAACCATTACTAGTATCTTCCTTCTTCCTTCTTGATAATTGAATATCTTAGTTGAATAATCCCTCGTCAAATTAGGGATCACCTCAAATTACGATTTAAGCTTGGTAGTAGTGTAATTTTGATGACCTATGAACTCGTATGTAACGATTTATTAGGTCATTATTTTGTGTAGCTTCTAAACTTAGCAACTGAACTGATTGAACGAGAAAACATATTTCTAGCTTCAAAAATCTTGAAATGTAACGTGCGTCGTGGATCTTTTTACTATTAGATGTCAAAGTAGTATAATCCATGGTTTGAGTTCCATCGAAAGGTGCTTGTTATTGGATAATTACAAAAAAGAAAAACATATAATATGGTCCATATGTGGATGAATATTACATATAAGAAAAACAAAGGGAAAAATGTAAATTAAATTAAGAAATGAAGTCATTACTGTTTACCCGTAAAACGATACAGTTGAATTTGTTACGTGATTTATAGACAAACGAATTGATTTGATCCAAAAATGATGAATAAATAAGATTAAAAGTAAGACTTAGCGTTAAAATCAAAGGAAATGGTAGTCCCGACTCCAGGAGCGATGCTTCC